TAATAATATCCTGGTTTATAAAGCTATCTAAAAATTCTAACTCAATTTCTATTTGAGTAATTTCTGATGATAAATTCAAATACTGCATGTATTGCATTGCTTTTTGATATTCTATACACCAGAGACATTTCTTCGAGAACATTCATTGATAAAATCTTATTTACTATCTTGTCTTCTAGACACAATACAAAGCTTTAAGCTATTGTTTATAGAGCAGCATTATACCTCACTCCATAGGCATACAAGCTTGAAAATTCAACTTTCAATGCAATATGATATTCTATAATCATAATTTGAGATTTTTCTCATGCAGTGAGTCCCACAATGCATTTGTTATTTCTCTCGACCGTATACTCATTCTAGAGAATAATCAGGAAATATACATCCTAAATTCACTACACTTCAATAGTAGCAAAATATCCTACATAGATTTAATAACGACCGTAACAAATAATTCAACTATTCAGAATAATTCTAGGATATTTCTTCTTTCATTAAGGCATGCATGTTAATATAAATTGGACCATGTGCATATAAGTTTACTATATGTAAACAAGTAGCAAGGTGCAAAAAGATAGTGAATGGTTATGCAAAATATTCTTAGACGCATCCTAGCATTTTTCAGGATATAATCATGGTACGTGCTAATTTTTTGAATTAATACCAACCAACCATTCATCTCAAAAATTCATTATACTAGGAAAAACAAATATGAGCATCTCAAAGATGATAAATTTAAGGTCTGCAGGATTTAGAGAGCTCATATGCCTTATACCATGTTTCTAATGTAATCATTCAAGATTTTATTCTTGCAATTACATGGTATATAATTCATAATAGGTTTGCACTATCATTTTTCATAATTAAATTGAAAGCGTAGAAATTTTTAGTATATCTACTATTTAATTTAGAAAATAAAGCTAGAAACAACACCCATTAAACTTCAGGTTGTACATGCGGGGTAAAAGAAATACAGTAAATATGCATAAACAGAGGGTCTAGGGTTAATTATTTAGAAAACTGCTGGGGTTGTATGCAAAAAAAACACCCTAAATATATAATTTATAAATCTATTATGCAAGAATACGAGATCTGTAAATAAAATCTGCAGGATTGACAGATCCAACGTAAAAATTTCAGATCAATACAAGTCTTTCTTTTTTTTCTCTCGATTTTCTGCAGTCCAATCCGATCTGGACCGATTCTGACCCGTTCTTGCTTAGCACAGAGACCTGCTCGGCCTTCTATGTCTTCAAGAACTCAGCCTGCTCGGTCCAATGCGCAGCGCGGTCTGCAAGCCGCTGTTACCGAGATTCTGCAAGAGGAGACGGGGCTGGAGTTTGACGGCGTGAATAAGCCGTTGATGACTCTGCGGCGTGCAAGCTGCTGAGGTTATGACGACATGCAAACCGTTCAGCGGCAGTGTTCGGGCTGAGATACCAATCCGCGTATAGGCGAGGATCAGCGGCAACGGCATGCTAGCTGAGATGCACTGGAGGCCAGGGATGAACAAAGCGTACCTACTCGGTGGCAGCTTGCAGCCATGGTGCGTGCGGTTCCGTTGCAGCGGAGGATGCACACGGTGGCCGTGTCACGGGACACGCGAGGTCACAGCGTTCGGGCTCATCCGGCTAAGCAGGGCACCACGTGCTGACGTGCAGATGGCGGCCATATGCTGTCCGTGATGGAATTCCGTACATGTTGCTGACATGCAAACCAAGAAAAAAAAAACTTCAACCTTCTTCTTCTTTATATTTTATTAACCCTATATTCCTTCTGTAAAGCATGTATTGTTCTGTATGTACTACGTGTACAAACTTGTATGTACTGCGTGTATTATATTATGATAGAAAGAGTAGCCAAGCTCGATGGCTAGTATAAACTAATCTGCGAGATATATAATTCATTCATGCAGTGGATGCTAATTTGATTTACCTCACATGCCGCGTAGGGCATTGGTTAGTAGATACATACCGCGTAGGGCGTTTGATATTGTCGTAGAATTGTCTGCTTGATGACAATGGTGTATCTCGATGTAGTACGGATTAGTTGTAGGTAGAGGTAGCATATCCGTTCCGCTAATAACGTCGGGATGTCGACGTCGTCGAAGTAGTCGCGGCAGGGACGTCGACGGCGAGAGCGTTGGCGTCGAAGTTCGGCGGCGGCTTCAACGTCAATGTCAATGAATAGCTTATCGTGCTGATAACGTGTTATAAAACATGTTGCCAGCAGCTAGACATTTCCTTCTCCATCTCTCATGATCAACATAGTAGATGAAAGTAAAAACACATAAACATAAAAGATAGGGAGACTATTCTTTATTTCTTTGAATATCGGTGATTACAACATAGAGTTCCCACGTATATATGGTTCTGTTAAGGCCTGAGAATTTGGTAAGAGCCCACGTACAAACGGATGCCTGTTCACTTGAATTTATCAGCCGGTTTATCAGCTAGAATCTACAGTATTTTTCTCTCACAAAAAATCAGCTTCGGCCGGTTTATCAGCCGATTTTAATACCAGCCGAACAGGCCCCTAGGATTAAGATTTCTCCTTCTCCTTTCCTTCTAGGATAGAGTCGATATGTTTTACAATATTTTTCTAGTAGGATAGGAAAAAGTCCTTTTGTACCCTCAGCGCCCGATTTACTTCTACGAACTAGTAAACTGGATGTTCTGCCTTCAACTTCAACTTTGATGGTGATCACATCTTTTTCTGGAATTTTTCTAGAATTTTCAGGGTACACACACGCGTGCACGTTCAGTGGTACTGCACGTTTTCCGTGCACTGAAGGCGACGCCTCCCAATCTCTCCTTTGCGTGTGTACGGAAGCGCACGCGTGTGTGGTGTGAGTGTGGAGTGTATGGGTTATGTGCGTCCAAGTTGTGCCCGATCAAAAAAAAAACTTCAACTATGAAACCATTGTTTTTCAAATACACTTTATCAAAAAAACTTAAAAAATGTACCAATATTTTTAAAAAATATACATGGAATTTAAAATCGAAAAATCTAGTTTAATTTTAGTAAACTCATGCTCCCTCCGTACCAAAATAAATGTCACTATGTGATATGTATTTTAGCTCAGAAAAATATGAAATCAGTTTTGAAAATTCTCTAAAAAAACATTGTCTATAGTATGGTGCGTACTTCCTCTGTACCAAAATAAATATCACTATGGGATATATGCTGGTCAAACTTTCTTAAGTTTGTCTAGGTTTATAGAAAATATTAGCAAATTTATATCTCCAAATAAGTTTATGTTGAAAATATATTCAAAGATTCATCTAATGATATTAATTATGCAACATATATTAGTATTTTCTTATATATATTTGGTCAAAGGTAAAAAAATGACTTCTCAGTAGGTGAGAATGACACTTATTTTAGGACGGAGGGAGTAAATTGAAATGATTTGGATCTTATATTGTCTTATTTTTTTGGGTTTTTTACTAGTATATCTCTTGTTATCATTTTTTTGTGTTCATTTACTAGCATATCTCTCCTCTATCGTTATCTATTATAATTCGAGGTCAAGAGGACTTTTTCCTTTCTAGTACTCGCAGAACTTTGACGGTTTCATAATGCTAGTTTGGGTCCGTTTGGACTCTAGAAACTATGAATGGGGTATTTTTTTTGTCCCATCTTTGAACTCTATGCTTAAGCATTCAATGAAAATTACAATTTCAAAAAAATACAAGAGAGAAATAGGTAGCAGTAGGTCCCATGCAATAGAACCTAGGATGGGATAGAGAGGGCCGCAAGGGCATTATGGTCTATGTGAAGTAAAAGATTTGCGCATCTTTGTATTAAAGGGCGTACCCAGTGCAGAGAGCTCCCGCTCTGTGCGGGGTTTGGGGAAGGGTGTTAGTGGCAAGCCTTACCCTCGCCTGTGCAATGCGAGGAGACCGCGACTCGAACCCGGGACCTTCCGATCACATACGGTAAGACTCTACCGCTTGTACCAGGCCCACCCTTCTTTGCGCGTCTTTGTATTAAGATAGAGAAATTGTTTAATACAACACGCCATAGCTGCACCATAGGAGGTCAGAAGAGTAGCACATGGATGCTCGGACCCTCGTGGTCTATGTGAAGTAAAATATGACGGATGAAAGAATCCTCTTTCCCAATAGCAGTAGGTATAAGTATTGATATAGACATAGATAGGTCAGCTGGTAAGCCAACGTCATAATGGAGCCTAGACATCGTGCGCAAAACTGCACAAAAGAAGAGCATATATAGACCGTGACAAAAGATTAATTGAGGCCCTTGGGTTTCAATAAATCATATGAAATTTCTATGAAATGACTTGTTCCATAGAAATTTTAGAGAAATTCTACTAAGATGTTGAACCTCATAGAAAGTTATCTTTGTGCCACTCCCTCTCATTATATCTCTCTCATTGGTTTCAGTGTTTTTCTTGTGCTAAGTTTTTTTTTCGTATTTTCTCAATCAATATGATTCAAGATTAAGGTTATTCTATTCCTACATTTTTTTTTCTTCTATTCCCACTTCTCAAAATTCTGTGTTCAAAAGGTGCCCTGAATGGTTCTGAAATTTGAGGCCTCATGGAGTGATGCCGTCGCCAAAGAGGAACTATAGGCGCAGCACTCCACATGGCATATGCAGCGTGCATCAACAGGGACACGAGCGAGTCAACACAAGCATTCAACTTCAAGTACTTCAATAAAAAAAAACTTACATATATGCATTTATCTTTTTTTTCATTTTGCCCAGTTGTCGTACACGGATAAGTACGTAGAACAGCAGCACAATCACACTAGCTTGGAAGAAAAAACAAGCAAATGCAGTGGAAATACAGACGCAAACTGATCACAAGGCGTGCATATATATATAATAACAATGCATGGCTAGACGAAGCAACCAACGACGCACGTAGGCATTTCACGAGTGCAGTGGAGAAGAGGAGGCCGGCCTCTGATATATCTACAGTTCATGCCTCCGGTTGTCCTTGTCCGGCGGGGCGGCGGGAGGCCATCGATCTAGCGGCTGAAGGAGGCAGATGACCCCAGCTTGGCGGCGCTGGCCCTCAGCACGTACTGGTGATACGCCGCGGCAATGGCGGCGCCGATGAATGGACCCACCCAGAAGATCCACTACAATCACAGACGAAGACAGGACAAGCAATCGATGTAAGACACCTCAACTGATTCTGCAGATCACTTCATCAAGTGGGTTGCGATTTCATATATATCAATTGCAGTCACAAATTAGTGTTATTGATCAGTGCAGTAACAGTAAGACGGCAAGATAACATTTAGGTATTTTAGTACATAGATTAAAGTTTTTTTGAGTTAGGTCGGAGGGCGGTTGTTGGGAAGAGATTAGGCTGCGTGTTTTGTTTCAGTGTGTTTTTAATCAAGTGGCTGAAAATGTCACTGTGGCTGTGTGAGTAGATACTAAAGAACTGTTCAACTGTATACTAATAATCAATTTGGGTGACATATGCTGATCAGCTTAACTAAGTGATCATCATTGAGCCTTATCCTGACTTCCTGAACCTCCAGCTTGTTATAATAATCCAACAGTTCTATCTGCTCCTCTTAGCTAACCTACGGCTGAGAAATATCGTGATAGTTTTTGTTTGATTAGTTAATTAAGATTAGGAAGGGCGGGCCTGGTGCAAGCGGTAGAGTCTTACCGCCTGTGATCGGAAGGTCCCGGGTTCGAGTCGTGGTCTCCCCGCATTGCACAGACGAGGATAAGGCTTGCCACTAACACCCTTCCCCAAACCCCGCACAGAGCGGGAGCTCTCTGCACTGGGTACACCCTTTAGTTAATTAAGATTAGGCCAGTGTTCTAGGCAGCGTCGGCCATGCCTCTAAGCCATTAGCATTTAATTTATTCTTTGGCAGGATGTCCCGTCATTTGTCATGTTCGTTTGGCTGATAAGCTATGGCTAAAAGTACTGTTGACTGATTTATTGTGAGAAAAAAATATCGTTCGTTAGCTGAAAAAGTACGACTTATAATAAGCCAAGCGAACAGGGCGATTATCAGTAGAGCTTTAGCAGCATGTGTGTAGGACGTACGTGGTCATCCCAGGCCTTGTCGTTGTTGTAGATGACAGCAGCGCCCAAGCTCCTGGCCGGGTTGATGCCGGTACCGGTGATCGGGATGGTGGCCAGGTGGACCATGAACACCGCGAACCCGATTGGGAGAGGAGCAAGCACCTGAATGAACAAAGCAGAAAGCGCAAAGCATTAGCAACAGCTACTACAGTGATGAAGCTCAATGGATCGGAGGGGAGGCGCTGACAATCGAGCTAGAGACCAGAGCTACTTACGGGGACGTGGGAGTCACGGGCGTTGCGCTTGGGGTCGGTGGCGGAGAAGACCGTGTAGACGAGCACGAAGGTGCCGATGATCTCGGCGGCGAGCCCGGTGCCCTTGGAGTACCCGTCGCTGAGCTCGTTGGCGCCGCCGCCGTAGCGCACGTAGAAGGCGCTCTGGAATCCCTTGACGAGGCCCACGCCGCAGATGGCGCCGAGGCACTGCGCGACGATGTAGAGCAGCGCGCGCACCAGCGAGACCTTGCGCGCCAGGAAGAGGCCGAAGGTGACGGCCGGGTTGATGTGTCCGCCCGACACCCCCGCGGTGCAGTAGACGAGGATGAAGATCATGCCGCCGAAGGCCCAGGCGATGCCGAGGACGCCGACGCCGCCGCACGCAGCGTCGGGCGCCGTATTCGCCGTCGTGTCCGTCTGGTGCTTGTACCCGATCACCGTGGCCACCGTGATGTAGAGGAACAGCAGCGTGGCCACGAACTCGGCGATCACCGCGCGGTACAGCGACCACTTGGTCAGCTCCTCCGCGTCCACCAGCGGCGCCGGCGGCGGGTCCGAGTAGTCTTTCGCCGTGTACTCCCCGCCCTCGTGCGCCGCCGCGGCCTCGATGTCCTTGGCCATTGTCGCTCGCACTAGCCAATGAACTCACTCTCTGACGAGACTTGCTTGCTTGCTTTCTGCTTCTTAGCTTAGCTCGCTTCTGTTGTGACGAGAGTGGCCAAGGCGAGGCGAGGTATTTAAGGAGGGGCTGTGAGAGAGTGAGACGGTGGTGGTTCGTGACAGGAACAGGCGGCTGCTTCATGATTGGATTGTTTAAGTGTTCTTCTCCTCAGAGATAAGCCAAGCGTCTGGCCAGGGAGGTTTCTGGGTTTATAATTTTGCCGACCGCGACCGACTAAAGCGCTCATCATGGTTAGATAATTCTGGAGCTTAATACGGGGGTTGGGGCTAAATTTAATCAGTGGCTGAGCTTCATTCAGCGACGACGACGATGCATGTGTGTCAGCGTGTCTATGCTTCGTGTCTGCTTCTGATAATGTGTGGTGAGGGAGGCACAGGCGTGAGCCTCATCAGTGTGGAAATGTGAAGTCTACAGTGGCCATATGCATGCCTCTGCTATGCTTGCAGCAAAGACCACCGGCCTCTGTACGTGATTCAGGTAGGGCCTTTGCTAAATCTTCAGAGCTCTGGCAAGGTGTCGGGTTCATAAACCCGGGGTCCCTCGGAGACCGGCTTCCACACCAGGGCTCGACCCAAGAAAACAGCATGTAGTTTATGGGCCGGCCCAAGAGTCTAAAACGCAACGGGCCGGTAAGACAGTCCGGTCGCCGACTGTAAGGTCTACCCAAAGGAACAAACACCCACTCGTCAACTTCTTCGGCCCACCTCTCCGACCGGAGCACTCGCCTCGGACGCCAGCCGCCTCCGGGCGGTCTCTCCGATCGGAAGGCCTGGCCCAGAACACCGCTTCCTACTCCGACCCCGCGTCTCCGACCGGGGACCACGTAGGAAGCCTGCTTACCGTTCTTCTCCGACTAGCGCGGCCAGGGCCGACTGGGGCCATCTGACCGGGGACGCCCGCTCGGAAGGGACCATGGGCGAATGGAGAAGGCAGCGCACAAGTCAAACCACGATACCAGAACCATACCCTGTACGCCTACGGAAACAGTGCTCCACAACCGTCCTAACACAAACAGTATTGTAGACGCTGATATTTGTGTCTACAGTATTGTAGACGCCGTTGGACTCCCGTACGGCAAAAAGCCCCCGTGCCTCTGGGCATCGATAGTACTATGGGCGCCAGGACACACCATACCTGGTACACGCGGTAGGGCTCCTCACATACCCACAGTATTTTACAGGCACCGACATCTACCCTTCCTGAAGAAGACAACGCAACCTCCCATGTGCACCTGACATTCTACAGTGACATAACAGTATTATGGGCACCTACCATCATCACTGTTCTCATCGGCGTGGGCAACAAGGCTTAGTAACATCCGTACTCTCTCCCTCTCACCTGTAAAGCCATCCCCTTCATCTATCAAAGGGGACGCGCTCCCTCCAACGAAGGAGGTCGACTTCTTCAAGTTGAGATTTACTAAATCGATAGCTTACAACCCTTCAAGCACACGCTTAAACACCTAGCTCATAGCGGAGTTCCGGCCGCTCTCGGCCCTTCCGGTCGGACCCGATCGGGCCTCTCGTACACCCCACCTTTCTCCTTCTCGTTTGTAACCCCACTACAGACTTCGAGCACCTGGACTCAGGAATAAAGTCACCGACCGACCCAAACTGGACGTAGAGCACGTTGACTGAACCAGTATAAATCCTATGCCATTGAGTGCTAGGCCACCTCCGATCACAACGTACAACAAAACTACAAGTATTCACTAGTTGGTCACTTTCTGTACCGACAGTTGGCGCCGTCCATGGGGAAGACGATGTACATTCAACACTTTTTGGTCATCGGATGGCCCATTTTTTCACCATCCCCACCGTGGCGGGCTCGGGCGATATGATTCGCTTCGGCTCGTTGGAGTATCCCGCACTCTCGCCTGCGGGGATGCGGGTTCCACCCGTTTTTGAGCCATCCCAGGCTTTCCTCTTCGGAAGCCTGGACTTCATCGCCGACCGGCTCGGCGTACTCCTCCTCCGCGAGGAGACTCGCGACCCGGCACCCGTCGGAGAGACGTCCTCCATCGACTTTGGGACGCGCGACCTCTACGGCGCGGCATCTGCGCTTCATCCCAAGCAAACTCTCTGCTCAAACCCCGTTGTGAGTAATATACATGTCGTTCTTTACTTACTACATTCTATCTTCCGCCAAATACCCGGAGGGCTGCCGTTGTCCCCATCGCGGCCACCGTATGACAGGTTCCCCTACGGCCTCGTGTCTCCCATGGACGCGTACGCCCAGGGGCTCCAAAAGGTTATGGCGCCACCTCCTCTCACGTCTAAGTTCGTGGGGATGGCGAGCTACGCTCCCACCTGTTTCCTCAACATCATGGATGACGACGTCGGGAGTGACGGCTCCAGCATCGGCGACGTAGCACCCAGCCACCGTCCGTCCCGGGAGTGTGCTATGATGGATGCTTCAGAACAGCCGCCAGGGGCAACGGAGTCCTCATAGACTCACGCCCCTCCGGGCCCTCATACGAAGACCACCGAGCTCACACGTGAGCATGGGGAGGAACTACGACGACAGTGGACGCATCAGCCACCGACTGCGCCAGCGCGCTCGGCGCGCTACACTGCGCCCCGTGCTCGTGGACTGGCAAACGGCGCTCGGGGTTGCACCCATCAGGTCTAGCGCAACACCCCAGATAGGGGGACCGATCCCCCGTAGTTCACTCAGGCCAGTCAGAACATTGCCACCGCGACAATGCTCCTGCGCGGCCTGTCCGAGCCGAACGACCCTCGCGAACGGGTGATCCACCGGAACCTCCGGGCACTGGTGGAGACCGCCGCCGTTCAGCAAGTGGAGTGCTCCGTTTCGCAACGCCGACTCATGACCTCGCTCCCCGTCCGGGGAACAGGGACGCAGCAGATGCGGCACTACACACTGTCACCGCAACAACCACTAAGCGCGGCACATGAGGCCGCAACGGTACCTCATCTTGACCTGACGACCGCTCTGCACCAACCACCTATCTACGCGCGGCTCGGACCAAACCGAGCCACATGCAGCGGCGACCGGAGTCCCAGCACTGACGGCCTAGGACCACCGACCTTTGCCTAACTCCCCCCAGCAAGCGTCGTTCTCACCGCGCTTCAACGGAGGCCACGGCAAAGGTAAGGCCAAGCGCCATGATCAAGATGAGGGCCCCTCCACGCAGAGGGGGAAAAAGAACAGAAAGGATCGCCGCCGATCGGCCAACTCCGCGTCGGTCGTCGCGGCCGATAACCTAGGCACGCAGCCCCAGCAGGACCGATCGGGACACTTCCACAAGCTCATGGAGAGCCCGTGCACCAACCACAACTATCTCGTCAACCATCTCTACAAGGACTGCTAGCTCCTCAAGCGCCTGCTGAGGTAGACTGGCAGGCCAAGGAAAGAAAAAGGCGAAGAAGCAGCAACAGAAGAAGGGGCACAGCGGGTGAGGATCCAGACGACTGAAGGCTGAAGTGATCCGATCGGACGCCTACCGACAGAAAGACAACAATGACGACATTCTCTCCAAACGCTTGGAACAGCTATGCCATTTTTTCATTTCCCTAAGTTTCAGTTTTACCATTGTTTACTTAGCGAACGCTCCTATAAAAGCACCCCGACCCGAACACTTTTCGGCTCAGGACGCTCGGGGGCTCCACTAGGGGGCACTATTACCCCTCTGTTTTCATCTTTTACTTTCATATGGTGAAACTCCTTCCTACCCGAACAAAAGGGCAGTTCGTTCTTTTGATTTGCCTTACGTAGCTTTGCTTTAAAACATTCCGACTGATCGCACCCTGCCTTTTCCTACGGTTACGAGCAGCCGAACCTCGCGGGCCACGCCCCGGGCTCACAAGGTTGTGGCCTACGGGACAAACGGGCAGGTACGAAAAAGAAAGGAATAAAAAACAAAATTATGCTAAGGAAAAACTAAGGAACAAAAGGGAACAAGCTTCCCCGAACGGAGCAACTCCATCACAAAAACAAAAACCGATTACAGTCATTAAACACATGCACGAACGTTTTACACAGGGGCTCCCCCACAAACTTAAACTCTTTACGTTTACTAAACTACTTACATTCTGCAAGCTATTAAATCGGCCCGGCGGCATCTGCTGGCGGCACGACCGATGAAGGAGCAGGCTGCTCACTCCTCGGCGACGCGATGTTCGACTCGATCAGAGCCGAGGCAACGTTCCCCCCCGAACCAGGCTCCGTGCTATCCGCAGGCTCGGAAGCATCCTCCCCACGCATGCTTCGGGCCATGTCCTCACGGCGAACGTCCATCACCCACTCGGCGGAGACTTGCTCTGACACCGACCATGCGTGCGGCGGCAAGCTCTCCCCGATCGTTTGGATGTCCCCCATGCTCAGGCCTTCAGCATACCCGCTGCAGATAGTGGCGAAGTCTAGATTCGGGTGGTACGTTGCCACCGAGGTCAGCACCCCCGACGCTCCATAAAACAGCCCACTCCTGACAAGGTCCTTGATCGCGTCCAGGACCTCTGCCAGCTGGACCGCGGGCGCGCTGGTACTCGGCGCCGACCCGAAGACTTCCAAGATGACGAGCCGGGCAACATTGCTGATCTAGTTAAGATCCCCTTCGAGAGCACGTCGCTCTTCACGGGACTTGGCCAGCTCCTTGGCATTCCGGCTGAAGTTCGCCTTGGTCATCTCCAGGTCTTGCTCCAGCACCTTTTCCCCTAGGTCTGCAAGAAGGGCGACAAGCTCAGAAACAGGCTGAGGGAAAAATCAACACCACGAGAAAACAAAAAAGGTACGCACCGATGCGAGAGGCCTCAAGGGTGGAGAGATCCTCTGCCTGCCGAGCCACTTGCTCGCGCAGCCGGGCACTCGCGTCCTCCATCCCCATCACCTGGCCCCGGAGCGCGAGCACCTCCTGATCCGCCTTCGACCGGGCCCTCTGCTCCGCCTCTAGGGCCTTTTGTGCTGACTCTAGGGCAGC